CCCCAAAACCCCAAAACCCCAAAACCCCGCAACTACAAAATAGAGCTTCTAAAAGTAAGGAAAATTTCATAAATATTGTTAAAATTATATTTTAAAAATGAGTTATCACTCGGATCATCTCGCTTGGCAATAAAGAGTTAGCTCTGAAATGAATGCGCATAGGAGGTAAATTATTAGAAGCCTCAAACTTTAGGTATTTTGATAGAATTATGGTTGCCAATAATGGAGCCTTGCCTCAATCTATGTATGATTCTCTTAACAGGTATATTTATCAAGTCAATTCATATTATTTGTTCAGTTATATGATAAATGACCCATAAATGAGACCTAGCACTGTTGGAAGTTCAAACAGAAGATAATCTAATTCATAATTTCCAATAACTGCTAAGAATAAACAATCTTATACCTTTGGTACTCAAATTTCTTCAAATTAAAATTGTTTTAGGTGGTAAAACAAATGTGCAAAAGTTTCTACATTAGTAGGACCCAGCTTAGCATCTTCAAGCTCTTCTCAATAATCCAGTTCTTTCTTAGCAAAATCAAAACTTCTAATCAGCAATTCAATACAATCATCAAAAGGATCTTGATTAATTATCAAATGCTAGTGGTGCTTATGTTGGTAGAAGTAAACTGAACAGAGCTAAATCTTCTGGTGGTGCAACACGCTCGTAATACGGAGGAGGAGCTGCAGCTTCTGCATAAAATAAACAAGGAATGAAAGTTTATATTCCAACTGATTACTACAAGCATGCTGGGTATATGTAAAAAGATTAAATGAGCAATGCAAATCAAAGATCATAAATAGGTGATAAAGCCGAATAGGCTAGAGAAAGATTCAATGAGGAATTGAATTATAATGGAAAAAATAACAAAAAGGACGAAGCATTGTCAGCATATTCGAGAGGACCTTAAAGTGTTATAAATGCACCAACTGGAAAGGTTTAGGTACCACACCAAAACTAAGACAAACATGAAACTCAATCTAGGGCTTAGTCAAGTTACTTCAAGAAAAGAATACTAGATAAGATCAATGCAATGGATGATTAAGATTTGTAAAGAATCGGGCATGATCTCAACATTGAAGATAAGGATGATAAGGCTAGTGTAATAACTACAGATAAACTTAAGAAGTTCAATGAAATTTATGGCTTCGATGGTGGGCCAGCAGTTGATGAACAAGAAGATGAGTTGGATGAAGACGGAAGTAATCCCAATGAAGGAGATGAGCAGAGAGATGAAGTGCACTCTTTGAATAACTAATAATATAAGAGTAAAGGTTTAGGGAAAGGAAAGAAAAGCAAAAATGGAGATACGTAAGCATTTTCTTATTTTGATGTGTTTATTTTAGACAATCTGTTATCAGCAGAGGAACTAAATCTGTCATCTCAAGACGAACAGTTGTCTCTGCCGATGGAAGCATTAAAACTTCGAAAACTTATATCTCAGCACTTGAAAGACAACTAAATGATGAAAAGAGAGCAAGAGAATAATTACAGAGAGATATCGAAGAGATAAAGAAAATAAATAGTGAAATTAGCAGCAAACTTGGACTTTCTTCTCATAAGGATAACCATAGATAGTGATCGAAAAGATTATTATATTATGAAATATTTAAGATCAATTTTACTTACTTATTATAACATTTAAATTATCCTTTTTCCAGATTTCATTCAGACTGGGGTTTTGGGGTTTTGGGG